CCCCCCCCCCACACGCCATGCCTGGCCCAGCCCTTTTCTGAGTTCCTTCTCTCCTGCCTCTGCCCATCAGTGTTCCCACTGTCTCCCCTCTAAGCCTGGAGCTCTGTCCTTCCCTTCTCTTTGTTCCATTGCTACTGACACTCCTTAGACAACCTCCTTAAACTCTCTGATCCTCCGTCTCTTCATCTGTAAAACAGGAATTTAAATGTTTCTCTCTCTCACACACACAAAAAAAGCTTCCTTCACCATTGTTTTGGCGATCAGAGGAGATCAGAGAATTTAGTGCCTGAGACAGGTTAGCTCCCTGGGAGTCTAAGACTCCGGGTCCTGCAAATGAGCAGCTCAGGACACAACACAAAATCATAATTAAGGAGTCTGGCTTGGAGTCATGTAACCCAAGTTCAAATCTTGATGTGCAACTTTGGGTAACATATGTAAGTTCTCTGAGCTTTAGTTGCTTCACCTGTAAAATGTAAAAATTTTACCTACCTCATAGGTCGTTGTGAGGATAAAATGAGATAAGGGATGTAAATAAAATGCTCGCACAAACAGGGCCAGGTACCTCAGAGTAAGTGTTCACTAAACTAGTGTGAAAAGAAACCATCCCATGCACACACCTCATCAGGGACCTCAGCCACACCCTACCCCTGCTCTGAGCCTCTTTGAACCTGTGCTTCCCCATATTTCCTCTCTCTCAGGTCTTCAGTTTTGCCTCAGAAAAGCAGGGGCCAGTAAGGGCCAGGAGATGGGAGGGGTAGGAGAAGCTACAGACCCTGGTTGGTGAGGGTCAGTCCAGGGGCCAGGGGTGTCATCGAGTCAATTCCAGTTCACGGCAGCACCATGTGTCCTGTGCTCCACAGGGTTTTCAATGGCTGATTTTTTTTTAGAAGTATACTGCCAGGCTTTTCTTCCTAAGTGCCTCTGGGTGGACACAGGGGTGGATCCTCCAATAAGCAAGGTAAGCACAGGCTTACTTGTGCTTACTTACTGATTTTAGTGAACAATTTCCCACATCTTTGATGTGGTGAAACCCATGTGAAATTGTTCACTACAGATTTTAGTAAGTAAGCATAAATAAGCCTGTGTTTACCTTGCCTACTGGGTCATCCATCCCTGTCAGGACTGTAAATTTGAAAAGAGGCTTTGATTCTGTAGAAAGCTGCTGTGGGGTTGGGAGAGACAGAGATGAGACATACCTAGAAGCAAAATCTTTGATGTGGTTGAAAACATGTGAAAGTGTTCACTATAGATGATCTGGTAAGCATCACGTTTCCCTTCCTTATTGGATAATCCGCCCCTGGGACTTGAACCTCCAACCTTTCAATTAGCAGCTGAGCCGTTTGCACCACCCAGAGATTCCAAAAAACTTTGTTGTAGACATCTGCATATGGGAGCTGCAACTGCTCCTGCCCTGCCTCCTATGCTTGTTGTTTGCCTTTGAGTTGATTCCAACTCATAGTGGCCCTATATGCCAAGTAGAACTGCCCCATAGGGTTTTCTAGGCTGTAATCTTTATGGGAGCAGATCTCATGCAGAGCACCTGGGCTTGAAGCGCTGACCTTTTGGTTAGCAGCCGAGCACTTAACTATCCCGCCTCCAGGGCTCCTACCCTTATAAGCTTAGTTAACACCAAATAATAGACTGTGTGAGAACCGCAGGTCCCCAGAAACGGAGCTGCCTCACCCCTCTCCCTCATGCTCCTCCAGAGCTGGTGAGGAGACGGGCTGCAACTGCCAGCTCCGGCCAGCAGGGGGTGGATCTCGTCCGCTGAATCTGTAGCTGCTGTGCTTCGTCTTTCACAAGTCCTGCCTGGGTCTGGGCTCGAGCCAGCTGAGGAGGCGGAAATGGGGTGGGGGTGTAGGACACAGGGAATCTTTCAGGCCTGGGTGCCCTGGGGCCACCAGGAAACCGCCTACACCCAGTCTGCCCCCACCCCCACTATCTCAGAGGGAGTGCAGGAGAGAGGGAGCCCCCGTCTCCAGGAGACTGGTACAGACACAGCGATGACTGGGAAACTGGCCCGGCAACTTGCGTTCCTTTCTCTTACGGGCCGAATAGTGGGCCCAGGGGGTACAGACCCTCGCGGGCATGTGGGGCACCCAGTCAGAGAGCGTTAGAGGCCTTGAATTTCCTGTGGGTGAGATCTGCCCGACCAGCGTGCAGAGTCCGACTTGGGCTTTGGACTTACAAGTTGCGAGTGGTTGGGGATGTGTGGCCAGCAGAGGGCGCTGTGCTCCTTGGTGTTTTCTTCCATTTTCTGCATGGATCCGTGGGCTCACAAAGACCTGTACACGCGCCCCCCCCCCCCACACACACACACACATCCGTCAGTCAGTCTGGGGAGACCAGAAACACACCTCTGGAAGATAGGAGCAGCACAGCCACCTGACAGGCAGCTGTAGGCAGCCAGGTGTGGGGCCTTGGCAAAAGGTTTGTGAGCATGAGTGAGCTCCAGGCTTGGCACTAGAGCCCAGGACTGGCTGGGTCTGGGAAGATGCTGGCTGGGGCAGGCAAATCCAGGGCTGGAGCAAGACCTGGCCAATGCCCACTTGGCCTCAGGGAGTGAAGGACCTTGTCCCAGGCCAGGCAGGGCCCTAGGAGGCTCTGCTTCAGGCTAGCTGGGGACGGGGCTATCGCTGCACTTCATGTTCTCAGAGCAGGAGCTGCCTCAGCAACCAGGACCCCTCCACCCAGCTAGTCCTCATAAACTTTTTCTGACTCAGAGGCACTCTCCTACCTACCGGTACATTCACTCCTAACAACACTCAGGGAAGTAGAAATTATCATTCTATTTTATACATGGTGAAACAGGTCACAGAAGTTAAGCAACTGGTCAGGGGTGCAGTATACACGACAATGTAGTCAAAATATTTTTGCTTGTATTGTTTTATCAAAAGCTCTCAACAGATACTACTGCTGCTTGGTACCTGTTTTACAGATGCAGAAACCGAGACTAGGTGAGATGTAGAGACTGGTGCAAAAGTAAACATCTAGGTGGGAGTCCTACCTTGGTCACTGAGTACAAGGCCAGTGTCTGTCCACCAACCCTCTACTGAGAGGAGGGCTAGGGAGGTGCTCTTGAGTTACCCTGGGTGAGCACCAGGTAGGGAGGCTACTGTACAAGGGAGGATCTACCCCAGCACTGCCCACACAGCCACATTCCTTCATTCAGTGGGCATTTATGGAATGCCCCCTTTATGCTGGGCAAGGTGGAAGTCTGTACTGCAGCGATGGTGGCAGTGAGGAGGCCAAGGCCAGAAATGCCCTCCGACTTTGCTCAAGCCCAACTCCTCTATGAAGGCTGCCCTGATTTTGCTGGAGAAGAAAATCAGGGCAGGTTTCAGAGAACTGGACTTTTGTAAGTTCTTGAAAGAGAGGCAGAGGCATTCCAAAGTCCAAGTACATAGGGCTCTGAAGCTCATTTGGGGGAACTATAAATATTTGGCCTGGCAGGAGTAAGGAGGAGTAGGGTGGGCAGTGAGAGGGAGCTGTCTTCGCATGTTAGACTTGGATATTCCCACTTGATCTGAGACAATGGGGAGCCATTGAAGGGATCTGAGCAGAAGAATGACGAGATCAGCTTCGCATTTTAGAAGGATCACCATGGTGTGGATGAGAGTGGTATGGAGGGGCATGAATGTAGTCTGAGAGCCCAGAGAGGAGGCTGATGCAGTAATCCTGGGAGAGATGGTAAGGGCTGAACTGGGCCGGGGGAAGAGGTGTCAGATATGAGAAAGCACAACCAGGAACCTGGGCACCCACTGGGTTTGGGTGGAGGAAGAAGGGGGTATGTGAATGACTCCCAGGTTTTGGCCTGGACACCTGGGTGGGTGGTGGAGCCACTCAGTGGGAGAGCGACAAGGACGGCCAGCTGAAGGGTGAAGGGTCCAATGGGAGACGCCCTGTGGGTCTGGAGTTTAGGAGAGAGGTCTGAGTTGGAGAAAGTCGAAAGCTGTGTGCATCAACAGTCTGTGGAGGCCACAAACATGAACGATGCTGCCCAGCAGAGTTTCACAGAGAGTGAGAAGAGCAGTGAACCAGAAGAGACAACGCCAATCTTTAAGAGTGAGCAGGAGAGGAGCCAGCAAAGGAGACTGAGAAGAAGCCCGCAGAGGTAGGAGGAGAGCCAGGAAATGATGATGTCTCCTAAGCCAGGAAAGGAGAGGCCTTCAGGAGGAGGAGGTGGTCAGCAGTGCCACGGGCCACAGTGGGCCAAGGGGGGCCAGGGCTGAAGAGGAGGTCACAGTGGCCTTTGCCAGAGCAGTTCCACTGGCTGGCAGTGGGAGGAAGCCTTGGTCCATATGAGTCCACTTTCCATTACTCGGTGATTACTTGGGCTTGGGGAGTCAGGAGGGAGGGAGAAGTAAGAACCAGGGCTGAGATTGGTACTGGCCAAGAGAGGGCTCCAGGAGCTCCAAGGGAGCCAAGAGCACCAGGGAGGGCTTACCTTGGACACAGAAGGGCTGCCTCTTCTTCGAGGCCAGAGGGCAGCCGGTGAGGGCATGAGCAGCTGGCAGGGAGTTTGTGGCTGGGGAGGCAGGATGGGAAGAAGTCTTGTCTGATGGCCTGGCTTTATAGGTGGGATAAGAGGCAAGCTCATCTGCTGAGGGAGAAGCTAGGACAGTGGGGTACTTGAAGAGAGTGGGGAAGGTTTGAAGTAGGCCTTAGAAGAATGGAAGAGAGCCCACAGGGAGGGTGTAAGGATTGCTGAGCAGAGCCGAGGCCCCTGCTGCGGCCAGAGACCGTGGCCTGTCATGGTGGCAGTCTGCACGGCTGGGCAGTTTCCTCCAGCAGTGCTCAGCACAAACCAGACTGGGGTGAGGGGATGAGGAGGAGGAGCATGAGCGAGAACAGGGAGCTAGGACAGTGGGGGTGCTGGCAAGAATGTGCTAGAGGTGAGATGCCAGGGGATCTGACTGGAGAGGGTGGGGTAAAGCCAGGATGGCTGGAAGAACAGAAGGGATGAGAGAGGGATTTTCCTGAGACTGAGACAGGGGTGGGTAGATGGACACAGACTGTGGTCAGAGTTGGGACGTTTCACTGGAAGATTTCAGAGGGCTCAGTGGGAGCAGAGTATGAGGGCAGCCAGCTGAAATGAAGCATATATGACCGTGATCTGACTCCAGGAGACCAAGAAGCTTTCATTCATTCATTCATTCAACAAATGCTTATGGAGCACTTTGTTGTTGTTGTTAGTTGCCATCAAGTCAATTCTGACTCATGGCAACCCCGTGTATGGTGACCCCATGTGTTGCAGAGTAGAATTATGCTCCATAAGGTTTTCGAGGCTGTGATCTTTCAGAAGCAGATTGCTAGGCCTGTCTTCTGAGGTGCCTTTGGGTAGGATCAAACCATTAGCCTTTCAGCTAATAGTCAAGATCTTAACTGTTCGTGCCACCCAGGGACTCCTGATGAGCACTGCTATGGCCGATCCCTGAGCAAGGCACTACAGGTAGGGATGAACACAGCTTGGTTCCTGCCCCCTAAGGGCCTCACCGCTTTGCTGGGGAGACACATCAACAGGAGGACAGCTCCCTGCTGTGACTGTGGTGTACAGAATGCCAGGTGTGGTGGGAACACACATAGGGATCCTCACACAGCCAGAGGCAGCCAGGAAAGCAGCAGGTGATACAGAAGCTGAGCCTCATGGATGATTGGGAGTTACCCAAGCAAAGGGTAAAGAGTAGAGAGAGCATCCTCCAAGGGGAGGCACAGATGGAGTGTTCCAGAAGCACTGGCCATTTGGTGAGGCCAGAGGGTAAAGGATGAAGCAAGAAGTGAGGAGAGGTGAGCAGGAGGAGCAGGGGTCGGGTCCCAGAGGGCGAGGAGCTTACAGCAGGGATGTGGAGGCTTTGAAGGGATTTTAGCAGGGGAGCAGCATGTTCAGATTTGCGTTTTAGAAAGATCACTTGGGCTGCAGTGTGCAGAATTGATTGGAGCGGAGCAACGGAGCAGGCAGAGACGGGTGGACGGCTGCAGGGCAGCAGGGTGGCAAGGAGAGGGCACAGGCAAGTCATATTTAGGATTCAAAATCAGCAGGACTTGATGATTTCATTGGATGGGGGGAGGAGGGAAAGAAGGGTCAAGGACGCTCCCCAAGTGCTACCAGCTGAGCTAGAAAAAGTAGGAGGAATGAGTCGGGGCAGGGAGGGAAATGAGGAGGTAATTTTGAAACAGGTGTGTTTGAGGAGCCCAAGGACACCAGGGACCATCTACTGGCAGGTAGATACACCCAGGGGTGAGGTCAGGGTGCCCAGATATGGTTAGGAGGTGAAGACTGTATTGTTGTAACAGCTGGGCAGATTCTTCTTAGGGAGTGTCTTTACTAGGGAAATACCTTGATGTGCTACTGGGGGCAAGAGGGGAAACCCTAGGGCATGGGTGACCTTGGGGCCAGCATGGCCACAAAGGCAGTTAAGCCGCCCTGTGAGAAATGAGGGATATCTTTTGGCGCCTAAGTGGGAGGAGGTGGGCAAAGAACTGGGGGGGCCAGGAAGGGAAGGGGAAACCAAGGGAAGGCAGAGAAAAGTGGGGAGAAGTCGGTGAAGGGCCAGAGGGAACTCCTGGGTGGTGGGGACTTAGGGCCCTATGCCATGTGAGTAATTTGATGTAGTTTGAGTAGCTGTGGACTAAACCCCTCCTCCATCCCCCTCCTCCGCACACACATCGTCGTCATCATCATCATCATCATCGTTGTTGTTAGGTGCTGTCTCAGTCCTCTAGTGCTGCTCTAACAGAAACACCACAAGCGGACGGCTTTAACAAACAGAATTTTATTTTCACACAGTCTAGTAGGCCAGAAGTCCAAATTCAGGGCGTCAGCTCCAGGGGAAGGCTTTCTCTCTCTCTCGGCTCTGGAGGAAGGTCCTCATTGTCATCAGTCTTCCCCTAGACTAGGAACTTCTCTGCGCAGGAACCTCGAGTCCAAAGGACACGCTCTGCTCCTGGTGCTTCTTTCTTGGTGGTATGAGGTCCCCTATTCTCTGCTTGCTTCCCTTTCCTTTTATCTCTTGTAAGAGATAAAAGGTGGTGCAAGCCACACCCCAGGAAACTCCCATTACATTGGATCAGGAATGTGACCTGAGTAAGAGTGGTGTTACAATTCCACTTTAATCCTCTTTAACGTAAAATTACAATCACAAAATGAAGGACAACCACACAACCCTAGGAATTATGGCCTAGCCAAATCGATACACACATTTTTTGGGGGACACAGTTCAATCCATGACAGGTGCCATCCAGTTAGTTCTGACTCATAGCAATCCTATGCTCAACAGAACTAAACACTGCCTGGTCCTGCACCATCCTCACAATCGTTGTCATGTTTGAGCCCATCGTTGCAGCCACTGTGTCAATCCATCTCATTGAAGGTCTTCCTCTTTTTTACTGACCCTCTACTTTACCAAGCATGATGTTCTTCTCCATGGACTGGTCCCTTCTGATAATATGTCATTAGTAAAGCGTATTCAATCTGCAATTGCTTTCTGCGAATGAGGTTTTAGGTAGGAATGAAGGAGAGAGCTTCATTTCACATCTGGGCTTATAAGGTGCAGAATAGCGTCAGCCCATTCAGAGGCAGAGCCTGGAGGCAAGGGGCCCAGAGAGCAGGAAGCCTGAGGAACTTGGACTCCCAGGGCTGTGGGGTCTGAGTGACATCCAGGAAGTGAGCACCCTGGAGTTCCATGCACACCGCTGCCCTTTTACCTGAAGCCGTGGGGCTGAGACTCTGCCGGCAGCAGGCCTGTCCAGCCTTGGAGAACCTGGAGGTACCAGGTCGTCGTCCAGGACCGTTCTCCCCACTTGTCAGGAGAGCTCAGGATGGAGCAGGTATGTGAGCTCCACCCCTCACACCACCCCTACACCTACCCCCACCCAGACATGCGTAATTTGTTTGCAGGCTGCCTGTCAGGCTGACCAGCATATTCCTTGGGGTGCCGTTGGGGTGCCAGAGTGACGGACAGATCTGCACGTAGGGGCCAGAGAAGCCAGCAAGGAGTGACCAGCCAGAGTCAGCAGGAGACCAGAAGAGACAGGGGAAACCAGACACCAGAGAAACAGAGGAAACATGCTGGCGTGCAGGCTCTGGACAGCCATTGTCAAGGCGCTGTTTGCCGAGTTCCCGGCCACAGGGCTGTATGTGTTCTTTGGCATGGGCTCGGTGCTGCGCTGGCCCTCGGCACTCCCTTCCATACTGCAGGTTGCCATCACCTTCAACCTGGCCACAGCCATGGCTGTGCAGATCACATGGAAGGCCAGCGGGGCCCATGTCAACCCTGCCGTGACGCTGGCTTACCGCACAGGCTCCCACATCTCCCTGCCCCGAGCTGTAGCCTATGTGGCTGCCCAGCTGGCAGGGGCCGTTGCAGGGGCTGCTCTGCTTTACGGGGTCACTCCAGGAGACATCCGAGCGACCCTTGGGATCAACGTGGTAGGTGCAGGTAGGGGCATGTGGCAGGTGCTAGGGCAGGGGGACCTGGCTGGGCCAGGAAGAGGGGGTCCAAACAGGTGCAAGGGTGGGGGGCCAGGGCCCAAGGAGGGGAGGAGGAAAGGACTCACCCACATGCTCCACACCTGCTCCGGTCTGGGCCCTGGAACATCGGCCTTAGTCCAGGCAGAATAGGAATGGGATTGTGATGCAATGAACGGACAGAAAAGGGAGAAGCCACACCAACGGGATGGAGTAGGAGGAGGACCAGGCATTTGAAGGCAGGAGCAGCTGAGAGAGGGCTGGGGCTGCTGGTATGGAAGGGGTCCTGGTGGGCACTTCATTGTCCTCCCCAAGCTCCACCCCATGTCGACTTCTCCTCTGTTTCTGCCCATGCTCCTCCCTCCCATGTTCTTCCCATGTTCCCACAAGTACCTTGAGGCCTCACTCCTCAATTACTCATCTTTCCACCCACTTCCCTCAGCCCCCTCCTTCCACATCCACCCCCAGCACCCTCCCAGCCTCCTCCCAAACTTGCCTTCCAGCTTCCCTGAGCCTCCCTTCCTGGAACACTGCCCCCCACCCCAACCCATGGGGTGGGAGGGGTGTCACTTCCTTCTCCAGGGAGCAGGTGTCCAGGGATGCTCTGAGCCCCACCTCACAGCTCAAGCTGTGAGGTGGGGTGGTGTCACCCCTTACAGCTGAAGGAATGAGGCCCAGGGGTTCACTGTCCCATGGACAGAGCCTGCGTCTATTCCAGCATGGCCCCCTCCGCTCAGGTCCAGAGCAACATCTCTGCAGGCCAGGCTGTGGCCGTGGAGCTGATACTGACTCTGCAGCTGGTGCTCTGTGTCTTTGCTTCCACTGACAATCGTCAGACCTCGGGCTCTCCTGCCATCATAAATGGGATCTCAGTGGCATTGGGCCACCTCGTTGGGGTAAGGGATAAAGTGGACACAGAGGTACTGCACATACACTGGGTCCCTCCCTGAGGAAGCTGCAGGGGCCCTGAAGGCTAGGCAGGGTCCCTCCCTGAGCCTCCTGTGCCTTGGGGCCGAGGCTGTGCCCCACACTCTAGGTCCAGGACATATGCTGCAGAGGCCAAGGCTGGGGATGGGGTCTGAGGAGGGCAGAGGGGACTGTCCCTTCACAGGCTTGCCTTAGGCCTCCTCACACCCCAACCTGCACTTACTCCCCAGATCTACTTCACCGGCTGCTCCATGAACCCCGCCCACTCCTTTGGGCCCGCTGTCATCTTTGGGAAGTTCACAGTCCACTGGGTAAGCCCCTCTACCAGCAGCTATGGTGGGGGGTGGGGGTGGGGCTCCAGTAGGGGCAATAGGGGCTGTGGGTTTCACCAGCAGTGGGTCCACAGAGACTTGGGGAGATAACCCTTCCCCACCACAGACCATCTTGACCACTGGGGAAGGTTTTCCTAAACTCAGAAGACCAGGGTGCCTATCCTGGCTGTACTTCCTTTCCCTCCAGATTCCACAGCCCCAGGGACCCTGTGGACTGGCAAGAAATGAGCTAGGGCAGGAACTGCAGCCTTGGCCCAGGCCTCAAGTCCCTGGCTGCTTCCTTATTCACTTCCTGCAGCTGGACCAATTTCCAAGCTTGGAAAAAGAAAAAGACAAACAGAAATAGACCCACACACCAGCAGAGACAGGAGCAGCAATAGCCAGGACTCCTGGCTGAGACAGGGGAGGCAAGAAGGAAAAGGCAGGAGAAGGTGAAGAGCCTAGCCCCTGGCCCCAGCCACCACTGCATAGCTGAACCTCTCCTTTGAAGGCAAGATTCCCCCACTTGTGTGGATTCAAGAGGCAGGACTCAGGGTTCTCAAATTTACTACCCTGTAGAAAGCTCAAGGGTTCCTCAAGACCAAGCCAGCACTATGGAAGCAGGCAGGGGTTGCAAAGCCACCCCATGGTCCTAATAGCTTACCAGTGGGGCATCTACTTCTCTCTGCCGCCTCAAATCTTCTGGGTGGGACCCCTGACAGGGGCTGTCCTGGCTTCACTGATCTACAACTTCGTCCTATTTCCCGACACCAAGACCCTGGCCCAGCAACTGGCCATCCTCACAGGCGGCACTGCGGAGGTGGAGAGTATGCTAGGGGTGCAGCCCCAGAAGAAAGAGTCCCAGTCCAGTCTAGGTGACACCGAAATGGAGAGTGTGTCAGATGACATAGACCTCAGTCCTGACCCTCAGGCTTCGGAGAGGTGCCCTGGAGGTGGGCAGCATGCCTTGCATAACCTGACTTGAGGTTTTCCTGGTGGGCTTTGCATGGGGGGATGGAGAGGCTTGGCCTCCTGTCCTCACAGGGTGGGCAGGGGGTGCTAATCCCTGTCCCTGGCACTCCATTTCTAGATAGAAAGACTCTGGGGAGCAAATTCTGTCCAGTTCCCTCCCCCTAGGCCTTCCCCATCTCTCAGTGCACAGAGCAGAGGGAGGGAAGGGGAATCATGGTTACCCTACCCTTCTCCCACACATCTGGATCACAGTGGGAGTCCTGGGAAAGGGGAGAGGAGCTCAGACAGCCGCTCTGCTTAGGCTGAGGGCTGCAGGGACCTCGGGGAGCCCTAACTTGTAGCCTCACCTTTGGGGAGAAGGGGCCAGAACCTACTAGAAGAATCAGGTCCTGTGCTAGCCTTCTGAGCTCCTCAGAGAAGGGTTTCTGCCCTTGGTGTGATTTGGGGCACCATGGATGCCCCTTCATACTGGGGGTTTCCTGAGGACAGGGATTGCCCTCCCAATAGATCTTCATTCCTCACCCCTCCAAATGCCCTTGGGAAGAGCTGACACAGACAGGAACCACCTATGGGGCTGGCAGAGGGGCAGATATGGGCAAGGGTAGGTGGGTCCAGGAATGCCTTTTCCAGAACAAGCTCTTCCCAGGTGTTTGCCCCACCTCCCTCTCCACAGGCCCACTTACAGGAACTTTCCTGAGACAGGAAGTCCCTATCCCATTCCTGGGCCAGAAGAAGCCTTCTCCAGACCCAGATCCTCAGCTCAACTGGGATCCCCAAAAAGCTGTTGAATAAGTCCAAAGGATGGTAAGAACCCTGGGAATGACCCAGGAAACCAAGATGTGGAGTCCAGTGTGCTGCCGAAAGTCTAATAGAGTCTCAATTGGTTTGTTAATATTTAAAAGCTGCTATAAATCTACTCTGCTCATGACCTGGGGTCTTATCTGGATCTTGGCTTCCCTTCTGTAAAATGGGCACAACCCTCCCCCAGGAACTGCTGTGAAAACAAACAAGAGATTGGAAAATGTTTTTGGAAGTTAAAATGCTAGAAAAACAACCCCAATAAATGATGATTATTGTTGCAGTTACTGTAATTATTGGGTTTGAATACAATTGCTGTTGGTAATGGAAGGGAGGAGGGAAGAAAGGAGAGAGGGAGAAGATGGGGGAGCGGGGAAATGAGTCAGTTTTTCTCTCGTTTCTTTGGCTTTCCTTACCAGCAACCCTGCCTCCTTCTCTTCTGGGTCTACTGACCTGGGAGCATTGTGGGTGTAGGGTGTGGGGGCTGGGGAGGGGCCCTTGGAATAAAGAGACAAGCCAATAAAAGTCAGTTCTTTTCATCTCTATGGTGCCCATCACCATGGTACCCTGAAATGCAGCAGCCAAATCCATAAAATAGATAAGTCCCTTCCCAGGATGTTCCCAAGGGGCTGGGGATGGGGAAGGGGCCACCAAAGTCTTCCTAGGGCCCGCTAACAGAGGCCAGCCTGTGACCTGTGCAGTAGCTGAGCCCCTGGGGATCAGCCTGAAGCCACGCTCAGCTTTCTGTATTATTGCCGGTACAGAGTACTGTTCCCATCTCCCCAAGCTGGGCCCCACTCATCCATCTTCAAAATCTCTCAGAGCCAGGGCTTTCTGTGCCTTTTTCCAAGCAGGGACAGCTGTGTGTGCGTGTGTGTGCATGTGTGTGTGTGCACAGAGGACGTGATTGACTTGCTAAAAGTCACCCAGCTTAGTACCACAGCCCCCTAAGGTTTCCCCAGCTCCCAGCTTAGAATTTTCCAAAACAGAGCTCAAGGGGGGCTCATACCCTGTGCAGCCAGAGGAAGGAAGGGAGCAGGAACTAGAGGGTTGATGAGGGCAAGGGCTGGAGCTCCTACAGTAGGCTCTTAAGCTTCTTGACAGATTATTCCTGGGCATCCCCAGAGCCAAGCACACAGTGGTGCTCAATAAAAGTCTGCTGAATGAATGACTGAGGCTGGGCGACTGGGGAAGGGAGGGAGGGATGGCAGTCATTGATCAAGGGGAGGAAAATTCAGGAGGTACGGCTCCAAATGACAGCAGCTGAAAGCCTATGCCTCCAGGTAGGGGCAGCTTGTGAAGAGCGGCCATATCAAGCCATCGGAGCCTCCATCCACGGCTCCAGAGCAGGCCTTGTAACCTCTGCCACAGGAACTGCAGAGCCCAAAGGGCAAGGGTGACCCCCTAGAGAGAAAGCTGAGGGCCTATTTTCACTAATAGTTCTTACAGCTATTAGCCCTCAGCATTGACTAGTGCAAGAAGAGACAAGCTTCCTGAGAGATGAGGAAATAGGTCAGAATCTCAAGAGCATTGAAGGTTAGACACAGAAATTAGTAACCCAAGGTTAGCTTCTCCTTGGCTGGAGCCCTTTAATGGGACAGCCTGCCATCTGTTTGTGTGAGGGAAGGGCTGGCCTTTGGGGAGCCAATCTCAGCACTTTCAGCCTGGGGAAAGCAGGCTTTATCCTCACAGACCCTGGGCCTGGGTGAGGGGAGGACAGAGACCCAACCGGCTGGCCCCGGGTGCACATTCCCTTCCTCCCATTTGTCAGGGGAAGTTTTTAATTAATGGTGTGTAATCTGATCTGGCCCTTCTCCCTGCTGAGCACTGCCTTCAATCAGTGGAGCCATCTGCAATTGCAATTCATAATTCTCCAGAAAGGGAGGAGGATTTGGGACGGGTGCCTTGGTGATTAATACAATTAGCCTTTTATGTTGATGATTGTCTTAGCAGGAGCAGATGAGGCAGAGCTCAGAGCCTAGGCTGTCGCTTCCCAATTGGTTGGCATGGAGCCCTCTCCGCTCCCCACCCCCACTGCGCTTCTTTAACCTGCTACCCCCAGGTATGAGGAGAACCGGCCTAGTCTGGGACCATACTGTGCAAGGGGAAAAGCCCAGGAAGGGGCCAAGGCTCTGGGACATAGCTGGTATCCTAAGACTGAGGGAAGAGGAGGATCATGATCCAGAAACTTTCACTTTCCGAAGAAAATCACTTTGACCTAAAGATCTTACGCACCCAAAGTAAAAAAAAAGAGAGACTATAAAAGAATAGTATAGGGGTTGAAAGTTTAGATACAGGCTTAAGTACTTATGAGCTGTGTGAACCTGAGCAAGCTACTTAAGTCTGAGCCTCACTTTCCTCATCTGGAAAATGGGGATATTAATACACACTTCATAAGGGTGCTGGAAGAACTACACAAGACGAGACGTATGTATTTCCATCAGTGGTAGCTATTTTTGCCATCATCACAGTAGACTGCCATCCCCTCTGCCAATGAGTGCAGCTGCTTCCCCTAGGGTTTCAAATGAGGCCCAGGCTATTACTACAGAAGCGATTGTGTCCTTCCCAGTACTTGTGCTAAGGTAGAGGAAAAAGGAGTCAAGAATCAAACACAAGAAAGAGAAATAAGAGCCTTCTCAGGACAGAGGAAGAAGAGCACGGGAGTGATCATGGCAGGAAAGCTGGTTGGGGAGACATTTGGGGAATGAGGGTAAGGAGACTGGGTGGGGAGGTAATGGGGTGAAAAGAAGCAGGACTTTGAGGATTTGGAATGTCCTCATGAAAGCTAAGTAAACACAAAGGAAACAGCCATCAGAGCGGAAGGTTTAAGAGGTAGTACAGATCAGAATCACTGAAATTGCCCAAGGACTGATCTATAGTGAGGTCAGGTGGTCTGGAACAAGCCAAATGCGATGTTGATGGGGCATTCTCGTCTCTCTGGGCCCACAACACTGTTCTCCATGACCTGGAGCAGCTCCGGAATGTTCAGGGAACAGGCTCAAGGAGAAAAGAACACATCAAGAGAGATTTTAACCTACGGCTTAATGGCAGGCCAGAGAGGAAGAAAGGGAGGGAAGGAGGAAGGGAATAAGTTAAGGGCTAATCAAGATGAAGCATCCGGCCAAGCTGTGGCCACTCTGGGCAGCTGTGGCAGGGGGTCTGCACAGCCAAGATGTGTAATCACTTCCCAGAGAGAGACCACTACACTGAGCGCAGTCACATAGTTAGCAAAAGCTGTGGAGGGGAGGCACAGCTAGTAGAGGGTATTTATGAGAGTGGGGACCTTATGGCATTAATTAATAGGCTGTAGTTAATGGGTGGAGCCCTGGTGGCACCGTGGTTAAGCACTTGGCTGCTAACTGATAGGTTGGTGGTTCGAACCCACCAGCCGCTCCACAGGAGGAAGATGTGGCAGTCTGCTTCTGTAAAGATTTACAGCCTTGGAAACCCTGCGAGGCAGTTCTACTATGAGTTGGAGTTGATTCGAGTGCAACGGGTTTGTTTTTTTTTGTTTTAATTAATGGACAGGAGGGACCAGACCCTGGAGGAGGACATCATGCTTGGTAGAGGGTCGAAAAAGAGGAAGGCCCTCAAAGAGATGGATTGACACAGTGGCTGCAACAATGGGCTCAATGGGCTCAAACAGAGCAGGACAGAACAGTGTTTCGTTCTGTTGTACATATGGTTGCTATGAGTTGGAACCGACCCAACGTCACCTGATAACAACAAATGGCAGAAAAGAGGGGAAATGAAAAACAATGCTTCATTCAGAGCTCTGATTAAGCTAAAGAAACAACTATTGCCAGAGCTGGAAGTGGAAGAGGACACAGAGAGGCAGGGACCAATAATTTGCACCTATCCCCATAGGCAGATGAACAAAGACCAGACAGGCCAGGGCCTAGCCTGAGGTCAGAGGAGAGGCCAGGACAGCAGTCAGGAGTGTTCAGTTCTGGAACAACAGGCTGGACTCCTCTGCCTGGAATATTCTGAGTCCTAACTGCCTTATTCACCCTCTGAGATCCAGCTCAAATGTCATCACCGTTGAGACTCTCTAAGCCTCCAGCTCCCCGCCTCCTCTGAGCTCTCAAAGCACTCTGCACCAAGGTGTACTGAGGGCAATGAGTGCGCGGGGGCAATCTCTAAGTTGTGCCTCCTCCCCACCCCATTTTCAAGATGAATAATGTTGATAGTGGCCATGCAGCAGCAGAAATGGCT